ATAGTGCAGGGACAATTATTGTTTTCCAAGTAAAAGAACAAAAAAGAATGTGCCTGGTACTGATCCTCCCCCTTTCTTTCTCCCTTGCCGGGATGTACTCTTCTTGAGCTTCAGCAGCCATTTTGTGACTAAGAGGTGAGAGGCATCAGGGAGAGACCAAGAGTTCTGCAGAGCTGCTGGTTCTGACATCATTAAGTTTCCAGATCAGTGCCAAGAGCCCTATCTCCATATTTCCTATTGTGTAAGAAAAATAAACCTCTGTTTAAGGTGCTGGAAGTTGAGTTGTCTGTTATCTGTTATTTGCAGTCAAAAGTATTACATGTTTATTTTACTGTGCACCGAAGGACACATAGGGAATGAAGGACATTAGAATTCTTTATCCATTCAACAAAATATTTTAAACAATTCCATTCCCAGGCAAGTATAACGCTAGTTTTGCAAACACTCCTTAAGAAGAACAACTTAAACTTGACTCATTGTCTGAAATAGATGTGGATATCCTTCAATACATGCAGCTTGTAGGTCTAGGGAGCCACCTTGAAGGCACGTTCTAGTCTGGTAATGCCCTGGTGTGTGGAATGAGAATGAGCAGTGGCTGGGAACAGCACTTCACCTTTCCGGTGTCAGTACAGCAGAGACTTAGAGGGTTGAAGTCCTTCAAGTGGCTTCTCATGGCAGCATTAGGAATGGAGCGTTAGTGAGATCGCCATGGCTTCCAAGAAACCCACCTGAATTAGCTCGAGTGAAAGGAGAGATTTATCTGAAGGACCCTGGACTATTTGATGGTAAAACCATGCTGTGGGGAGGGATGTGGTTGCAGTGAGCAATTAAGGACTACTTCAACAGGAAATGGCCATTTCCAGAGCTCTCTTTCTGCCCCTTGCTTCTGCTGTTACGGCTTTATTTTTCTCTCTTGCTGCAGACTGAATTCCCTTCCCTGGCAGAAACTGGGCTCCTGGTGGCTCCCAAATTTACATCTTTTAGATTGAGCTACCAGAGAGAGAGATTGACTCGCTAGGTCCCTCGTCCCGATGTCCAGTTGCTGGGGCTCATTGGGAGCTGGGGCCAGGCTGTTAGACTAAGAAGCTATGGTCAGAGGGCCAGGCCATCAATCTCCTGTGGGAGCCAGATGGGTAGACTGGGGGAAATTTCCAGAGAAGGGTGTGGTAGCGGTATTATACAGAGTTCCTTAGGTAGCCAGTGCAGGAAAAAATCCTCACTTCATTCTGTAGGTTTATCCTGACAAAGGAGACAAGAAACGAACAGACAGCTGTGTTGATTTGAGGTCGTATAGGAAAGCAACAGACAATTTAGTACGAAAATGAAGAACTATTAATTCTCACTCCAGGCTGTTATGTTCACTTGTTCTAGCCTTCTCTGATGCAATTCTCATTGCGTCCTGGGAGGCTTGTTGATAAGAGTTGCCCTATTTCCCTGTCACAGAGCCTTCTTTAGATAGTTACTGTCATACCTGGAGGGAGTGTGGGGTCAAGAGTGTTTCCTAACCTCATCCTGGACACATTGTGCCAACATCCTTACAAACACAAACACATTGGAATCACCTATTGAGAATATAAGAAAAATACTGGAATGGTCTTTCTTGAAAAGTGCTAGTGTAATTAGTCAGTTTAAAGCGAGAGAGTGGGAAATCATTGTAAAATATGACAAGCAAAAATTTCTTCACTCTTGTTGATGGTTAATTTTTACATTTTTGGATCTTATGGCCTATGAGCTGAGCCATAATATCCAGAAAATTTGTTGGCTTTGTAAAATTACTTTTATTTGATGGTTAATGAATATTCAATTTGTTTCAGTTCCAAGCTTTCAATAAAACAAGGATTCATTAGCCATTTGTTCATTCATCCAACAAATATTCGTTAACATCAACTCTGTGCCCAGCTTTGTGCTGTCTCCTCACTGTACTTTTTTCTCCTGGTACGTTTCCAGGATAAATGATTAGATTTCTCTGAGGTGGTTGTAGAAGTAACTATTGCTCTTTAGCAGTCATTTTCTCCTCACTCCCTTTTTGGAAATCCTGCTCTGCCCCCAGAAGAAGGAGCTTTAGATCCTTGTAGCCCTCTTTCCCCAGACATAGTTGATGGTACCAGGGATAAAAATCTGACCCCACATGGTCAATCAGATTCTCTCTCCTGAGAAATTGGGACAGAAAGACAGAAATGAAGTTGGTGTTGGGTGCTAGAGCTAAAAGACCAAAGATATGCTGGGGATTGAGGCTGTCATTTTGGAGCACAAATTATGGCCCCACATCAAAGCAGTTAAGTGAGTATATAAATCAGTTTGCAGAGAGAGGGAGAGAGAGAGAGAGAGAAGCAGACATGGAGCAGAAGGAGAGACCATTTGGCCTCAGAGACCAAGACAAGCCAGAAAGATTAGCTGTTTAATGTCTTTCCAGCATCATAATGGTAGTTGCTACCATACCTGTTTGGTACTGTACCATGGTTGGTCCATGAGCCACCTCTTACATCCTTCTAAGAAATTCACCTTCACTCAAGCCTACTTGACAGGGTTTCTCTTTCTTTAAGCAACACTCCCTGACTAGGAGGTGAGTTGATGAAGGTCAAAGCCAGTGATAACAGTTGATCAAGGACTTATCCTGTCTAAATGCAATACAAAACAATTATGTTTAGATACTCAGAACAATTTTCTTCTTATAAGAGTACTGAGGAATTAGAATATACTGTGAATATCGGATCTTCCTTTTTATTTATTTAAAGGAACATGTAGGCAGATCTCTTTCTGAGCAAGAGCAAGTGGCTTATGGGAGAACTTTTATAGCCCACTGGGTCTATGCTGTAGTAATACAACATAGGTTTCAAGAGATTTATGGAGGATTACTGACAGTCACCACGGTTCAGCCTCAGTTGGTACAAGGAAGCATGATGTGAGCAAAGACAGTTTCTGACAACATATAAGATGAAACTTAGTGGTTCCTGAAAGTATCATGACTTAATTTCCAGATTTAAATATAACCATTTTCAATAACAACAAGAAAAATTAC